TATATATATATATATATATATATATATATATATATATATATATATACACACACACAAACTTAGATATCCCAGATTCTAATTTTAACCATATTTGGTTCAACTCCATATGGGATTATTTTTGCCTATATATTTTCCAAATAATATTTAGCCTCATACATGCATTTTAGTCACCTGATGCCGTGCTCGGCTGTGGTCCAAAAGTTGCCGTGACTGAAGCTTCTGCTGTTGGAGCTGCTGCAAGGCAAAATGGAGCTGATAGCTGCCGAGGCTTGGCGGAGTCTTGGGATGCACTGGTTGGCTTCCTATCAACTTACTATGTATGCTGTTTTCTGTATCCCCTTCCCAAGCGAAACTGTCAGATTGTAGCGTCCTGTAATGAAAAGAGTTTCATTTAAATTCACTTAAAATTAGTGACGTGTAATGTCTGAAAACGAGGAAACAGTATCCCCAATTATCTTTTTTTTCCCTTGCTGACCTGAAAGTTACAAAAATGTTGCCAGCCGTACAATAAAAAAGAACATAGCCTTCACCATAGCCTGCTAATCAAAGAAAAAAATATTATATGGGTTATACCATGAAACCTCTTGGGTAAGAAGATTTTTGTGCTTACCATGTATTCCTGTTTTTTTAGGGGTGTAAGAAATAACTCATTACTTTGGAAACACAACCTCTCTTTGAGTCAGGAGGCTGTGTCTACTGCAGCTTTGTTTGTAGTTTATCTGGGGATCATTACCAAGGACGTTTAATTTTTGAATTGTTAGCAGCTGAATGTATTGTAGGACTTGACAGTATATCAAATTATGATACACACCCAAATCCTGCTCTTCAATACCTGGAAAAAGTTCAGAAACTTATGAATAAGTGTCAGTGGAGATTCTCAATCATTCAGGTCATGGTTGTCCCAAAGGTGCTTTTCCAAAAGGCAACTGGAATTTCTTGGTTTTTTTCTTTGAAAACGTTTTGCTTTTCATCCATGAGAACTTATTATGAATAAGTAATAACATTAGCTGCCACAATGTATATGGTGGAAGAACATATATAAATGTATTGTATTCTAGGAGGTCCCAAGAACAAGAAACTGTTCAGATTCCTGGATTGTAAATTTACTCAGCCACGCTTTCATATTCCATATTCCTGCCAAATGTTCTACCCTAGCTGATCCCTGTTTGTCTGCTGTGGCTCAGAATATACAGGCCTATTATTGTAGAATTCATTATATTATCCCTGACCTTGTAATATAGTTTTGCTGAGGAAGCATTTCTGCAGACAAATACACATTGATTCTTCTAGAATGTCTGAAATAGGCATTTTTAAAAATAATTCAAACCAATTGATGCTTCCTTTGTTTGTTTTAGCTTCATGTGTTTAAAGTATTCTTCTTGATCATGCCTTTCTAATAGTTAGGATCACCTCAAGGGTAACCTAGAGTAACCTTCATGGCAGCTGTTTCTCTTCCAACCATTATATTAATTTGGGGATTTATTATTCAACTTGTGAGGCTACTTACATAGTAGAAGGACATACTGTATCTGTATTAAATCAGTATGGTCAAGATATGATGTCCAACATGCTAAAAACGTTAACCTAATCAGCTTCCCTCAAAAGAATCTGTTTCACAGATGAAAAAGACATGGAATATGACAGTGTTTCATGTAAAATATCCTAAAGAGCCATTTTTTGTTTGGAAATTACTGAGTTTTTCCCCAAGTACTACATATGAAAAATCCACAAATATTCTCCTAAATCAAATGGGGTTGTGCACCCTCTTGGCTCTTGATTGTGGCTCTAGAACAAATCAATGGGTTATCCAGGCATAGAAAAAAAGTTTCTCCTCAAGCAACGAATGCGATCAGAATTTTGATGAACATCCCAAAGCTCAAGCTGAGCCCAAAAGAAAAATCTATGTGAATCAGCTAAACTCTCTGTGGAAAGAAGAGGTAAATGAATATTGAGAGTCCAAAGGATGCTGGCTGGTCTTGTGGTTTTAATAGCTGATGTTTTGGACTGGAAGTGCTTCTGAAAATCTTTTTATAAATCTATTTTAAAAATATCCAATTATGCACAAATCTAAATCACCTCTGTTTCTTGCACAAAATAGAACTTATATCCCAAAGTTCCCCAAAATGTAAAAGTTGAGTAAATTGGAATAAGTTGTTATATCAAGTTGTGTGTGCTTGTTTGTGTTTTCTTAAGTAACAGTATTCTGCCAGCCATGACACTGGCATTAGTTTGGAACATATTTTTCATTAGTGTTGCAAAATAAATTACAGTACACTCTCTCTCTCTCTCTCTCTCTCTCTCTCTCTCTCTCTCTCTCTCTCTCCCTCCCTCCCTCCCTCCCTCCCTCCCTCACACACACACACACACACACACACACACACACCAAATGCACACCATGCAAAGGTCCAAACTGAAGACTATAGATGTCTGAATGAGATTCAAAAACATTTTTAATATTTAGATGTGGATCACATGGATAAACTAGAATGCAAAATAGGTAGAAAAGAGAACACCAGGATAGAACAAAAAAGTGTGTATGGTTATGAGGCCTCAGAAAGCTAAACTTGAATTTGTCTTATTTATTATACTAGCATTAACATTTTTTCAGAGAAAGAAGTTTTTCAAATAAGCAAAAGTCTTTTCTAAAGACAAAACCACTACAACCTTGCTCTCTGGAGAGGGAGTCCAGCTGTGAAATACAATGCTATATGTCAGTGGAAGTTTCACTGTATTGCTTTGAAGTCTGACTTCATGAGCCTTGCAGTGATATTGCATTCTTCCAGAGCAAGCACATTTGTTCAGTGCAAAACAGGTGGTAGATTGACAGATCTCACATATGAAGCTGATCATAGATCCAGTAGTTCCTGGAATGCAATCCAATTTTAAAAATTGTGATTCCTTCTATTGCGTACTGTTGTCTTTTTTTTTTTTGCTGTTATATTTTTTATTTTTGCTTTTTAAAAATATTTTCAGAGTAGATATTTGTTTAAAGTTAACATTAAGACTTCTAATCCTAATATTAATATCAACATGGTCCTCCAATTGGGCTCTGTCTATCAAAACACAGATTGCATAGGAAAAATTTGTTCACCGTAATGTCTTCCCCTCCCTCCTATTGAGAGAGTCGTACAGCATACAAAAAGAATTGTGGCTCTGTATAGGTAGTCCTCAACCTACAACAATTCATTTAGTGATCATTCAAAGTTACAATGGCACTGAAAAAAGTGACACGGCCATTTTTCATACGTAAGACCTTTGTAGCATTCCCATGTGATCAAAATTCAGATGCTTGGCAACTGGTTCATACTTATGACTTAAGGTTATGCGATCACCTTTTGAGAAGCAAAATCAATGGGGAAGCCAGATTCACTTAACCACCATGTTACTAACTTATCAATTGCAGTGATTCATTTAACAACTGTGGCCAGAAAGTTAATAAAATAGTGCAAAACTCACTTAACAAATGTCTCATTTGACAACAGAAACCTTGGGCTCAATTATGGTTGCAGGTTGAGACGATCTATAGTTGCAGTGACACAGAAATTGAAACTGTGAGTCATGTGTTGCTGTGTTCCCTTTTATATAGAAAACTATGTGATAGGCGTAAGACATATAATACAGTACTGGCAGGCTGGAAGCCAATTACTATATGCTTTTTGCTAGTTGACCAATGTCAGGAATTTCACACAACGTAGCCCATTTTTGTGTCAGAGCCATGATTAAATGTAAACAATCCCTTCAAGTGAGATGATGCTGAGCCTTAACTGGGGTTCCATAACTCAGTATATTTTTTTCCTTTTTCTCTCTCTTTCCTCCTCCTACTTTTATCTCGTTTCCATTTAAATATGCACATAGGTTTTAGTTTGATATTTCTTTGTTAATGATAATTTGCATTTGTCAATTACAAAAGAGCACATTGCTTGGATTTGCACAAATACTACACAAATATACTGCAAAATCCTAGATTCTTGGGAAGAACTCAGCACAGATGAAGGCCAATAGCAGCTAAAGAAGTAGCAGCTGTTGATTTTACAGTGTGTGTTTGTGTGTGTGTGTGTGTGTATGTATGTATATGTGTACACACACACACACAAACACACACATAAAAGTTATATGGCCACTCGACTCCCAGAGACTGGGAGATTTACAATTGTTCAACATTTAAAAAACAGACTGTACCTAAAACACAAAAACAGCAGAAGACAAAGGGACAACGATGGCAGAGAGGAACAGAAAATAAAAGGGGTGGGCATCAATTATCCTCGCCAAAAGCCAGGCAAAGAGCCAAGTCTTTAAGGCCCTTCAAAATCCCAGTAAGATGGAAACTGTTCAAATTGGCTGAACCATAATTGTTTTTAATCCCAACAAACTCTAGCATGGCTTCAGCCATTTATATCTTCATTTATATCTTCTATTTATATCTTCATGGTGTTTTATAACTTCTAGTATAATTTATGGTTATCAATTCCTAAAAATGTATAGCATTTAGTTTTATTGTAAAATTAATTGTAATTTTATAGGATTCTTTTGTGTTTTAATTCCTGTACTTTGTAATTTTTCCTTAATAATTTTATCTTTACATCATTTTATTCTATTAATATGACTTATTATATTTATTTCTATTTTAGAGTAATTGTTATGTTATTAGTTCTATGCTAGTCTCTGACCCAAAATAAATTGTCTCTGTTTTCCTCAGGTCTTTACATCTTCAGTGGAGAGCCTAGGACAGGGGTCACCAATCCCGCAGACTGACATTGGGCTGTGGAATGCCAGCAATTGGGCCGCGCAAACAAGCGTAGCCCCATCCATGGGATGCAGGCCGCATGCAAAACCACGACCCTTCCAGTCTGTGGAAAAACCTTTCTCCATGGAACCGGTTTCTGGTGTTCAAAAGGTTGAGGGCCGCTGGGCTAGAAGAAAGAATACCTGCTACTATACCAGATATTCTTAATTAATTGGGCAAATATAGTATACTATTTCCTTTTCCTTTATAGTTCTTGCTCTAAATCAGTACTCTTAAACCACATGTGAAGGAACATGATCCTTCAGTGCTGTTAATTTCCTAGCTAGGGCTGGTGGGAACGGCAAGTTATCTGGAAGACCATAAATTTCCTGTGTCTATCTTAAATTCTAGAAGAAGGTATCTTTTTAGTTGTTTCTATGAATGCCTCAGTCTATGTCTAATAAGTCTGAGAACTTCCTAGGAAAAGAAAAAATTATCTCATAATTTGATTTCTGAACTCAAACATGTAGGAGAAAATCTGGCAGAACTTTCTTCCTCACTCAGAATCAATTCTGGGTACCATCTAAAGCTTCACTTTTTTAAAAGAAATCATTACATTTCATCAAGATGTGAAATCTCCTCATCAT